ACCACCGCCGCTCAGCTTGTTAAATAGCCCACGAGCTTGTTTATAATTTCTACCCTCTGTTTGTGCAATAGAAAGAGTCCACCAATTGCTTCTTGGGTATGTCAATTTCAGTAGGCTTCTCCCCTGCCGCTGTTACAGTGGATGCATCCGGCAATTTTCTGGACCTCACTCATCACCAATCACTGTTCGGACCGAAAATTTCTGCTTCGGCTTCGTTGTTATTATTTTTTTTTTTTTAAATTGGAGTTCTGCGGCATGATTTTTTTCGAGACAGTGATTAAATTTATAGGAGAAATAGACGATTTTGATGAGAATTTCGAATTCTTGACAGAAATATAGAAAGTTTTGAAAGGTAATCGGTTGAAATTAGAAATTGTAGCCATTCTCGACGGTGGCGGCGATGGTTTTTTCCGACGGATTTCTGAGCAAATGGATTTCTCTGAACAACGACAAAGGCATGTATATAATGCTGACGTGGTTGGTGATTTGGCAAAATATTTAACACTTGTAAAGATTTAACCGGACAGCTAGATTTTCCGTTAGCCACGTAGACATGTTAATTAACAGATTTGAGCCGATGAGTCACCGGTAGTAACGGATTGAAGTTCAGTGGCCAGTGGGATAAATTTGAAAGTTCGATGAGTAAACCGTGACATAGCTCAAAGTTTAGTGGTTAATGAAACATTTAACTCAAGGAAGTCACAGATGGTTTATGGCAGGTAAGGCGTTTAAAAGGCAAAAGGACAGAAAAAGCCACACAAATGCCCCGTCCGTTCACCGGTTAAAATCCCCTTTCATTCCTCCAACTGAAACCCTAGAAATCGCCTCATCCCCGACCTCCGACCGGCGACGAACGTTGGCCTGGATTGTTTACCATCTCCGACCGGAGCTATCTCTCTTCCCCTTTTCTGTGAGGCTTCTGTGAAACAGTGGCCTGCACACCCAGCTTTTTCCATTTAGAAAACTGTTAAATCGTTTTATTCATACAGGAAAGCCGCGACAAGGGTTTTCATCTGCGGTATAATAAGCTAGAAATTGGGGGAACAAGAGAGGTTTTCTTCTTCCCTATTAAGCTGGAAATTGGGGGAGAGGCAAAAAAGAGAGACATTCATCCCGACTCCAATTTATCTTGTGATTTCTACTCAACTTCTTCATCAACGAAATTGGAGGTAGTATCTGATTTTATTAGTGTAAAAAGGGGCGAAAGTCAACCTGATTGTTGTGAATGACATAATTTCAACTCAACTCCTTGTAATTTATTTGTTGTTTTTTCGTTCTTGTTCTTTCACCAGGAGACCGAGACGCCGCCTGCTGCTAATTGTGATGGAGTTCACCGGAGAATGGAAATCCCTCTGGCCCATATCCTCCACCATCTCTCCCCCGCTCCTCCTGTCAAACAAAACCCCCAAAAAACCCCTTGGCCCTCTAATTTTTACCCCAACTCTCAACACACCCACCAATGTACTGCTAGATTCCCCGCATCTCGCCCCCAGATTCCCCCTTCCGTACCCACAACTTCCGCTCTCAAGATTCCTTCGTAAGTACTGTTCTACACCTTCCACCGCGTCCTCTATTTCCTCTCTTTTCGGTCCCCAACTCCCTGACTACTCAACCCATTTTAGTAATTTCAATGCTCTCCAACTACTCAGAATCCCGAACAAGAATTTAATGATTGTTTTTTTCCCAACTGGTGAGAATTATAATCTAGTGGGGTTTACCTTACTGTCATTAAAAGATGCCAAATTGAGTGTTACTTCGACAAGGGAAAATTTTTTCACAGTGGCAAAAGGTAGCTGCATAAATCATCACCGGATTACGAGGTTGTTGGTCAACCCAGTCAGCAACGAAGACATGTCTCTAGTTGTGAGTAATGATTATAACAGTAATAGTGTTACAATGGTTGGGTTTTTGATGGTTTGCACTGAGTATTCTGTTTATTGGTATAGAGTTTATATTGTTAGTGTAGTTAAAGGGACCAAATATTGTTCTGTTAATTTGGATTATGCAGGGTGTACCGATTCTAAGACATTAAAGGGTAAAGCAGTTGTGAGCGTGTGTTGGAGTCCGCATTTAAAGGAAGAGTGTTTAGTGTTGTTGGATAATGGTGACTTGTTGATGTTTGATATTAATGAATCTTGCATAAAAAAGGGTAATATGGGGCTTTTTATGAGTACAAGGAATAGAGCTTTAGAAAAGAAGCTGCGAGTCTCACTCAGGAATAAGGTGAGTCTAGAGAAGGATGAAAGTGGTAGTGGGGAGTGGTTTGGATGTGACTTTAGTTGGCATCCAAGGATATTTATTGTTGCTCATTCTGGTGCAATATTCTTGGTTGATCTCAGCTGTGCAGGGAATTGCAATGTGAAATGTTTGTTGAAGGTTGAGATATTGTCTAACATGAACAATGATGGGTTTGTGGCGTTCTCGAGGGTGGGTTATGATGCATTCTGCTTCACCGTAGCTACAAAACAGTTGTTGCTGCTTTGTGATGTGCGGAAACCATTGATGCCATTGTTGCGTTGGGTACATGGTCTTGTTAATCCACGGTACATAACTGTTCTTAGATTGTCAGACTTAAGGTCGAATGCAAATGTTGATGATTACAGGTGTGTGTCTGAATCAGGGTATTGCATATTGCTGGGATCGTTTTGGGACTGTGAGTTTAGTCTTTTCTGTTTTGGGTCCAACATTAATAGAACCGACTCTGTCTCTTCTAAAAATTTGAAGTTCTGCAACTTGTATTATGCATGGGGACTCCCTTCAAAGATTTCATTGTCAGGCTATGATTGTAATTGTGGCAGTTGTCTTGTAAGAGAGGAGTTCCCGAAAAGTCCTCTCCCTGATTGGATTGACTGGAGGCAGAAAATACAGGTAGTCATGGGGTTTGGCATTCTCGATGCAGATCTTTTTACCAAGTTGTCTAGACCTAATAGTTTTGGTGGGTTTGTGTTAATTAGGTTAATGTCATCAGGGAAGCTAGAAGCACTGCAGTACCATGCAGAATGGGAACCTGAAAAATATTCTGAAATATTTCATAAGACGTGCATTCGTCACGCAGATAATCTTTTGTATGATACGAGTGCCGCAGAATATAAAATAGAAAAGAAACATCAGCACTTGAAGTTTGACTGCTTCAATGCCTATTTGGAAGATAATCTAGCTAAATACATTGTTGAACGAAGAGAAAACGTGAAAGAGAGTGGTGAAGATGCCCCAAAAAAATATAATGTCGCATCAAAATCCAATTTCCATCAAGAAATCTGTCATAAGCTGAAGGCCTTTAGGCTTCCTAGAATAAGGTCATCCTTGGCAGTTTCTGATGTTATGGAAGATATTAGCTTACCAACCAGCATAAATGAGATTGCTTTGAGAAGTACCTGGGCCAGCTTACCTACAAATCTCTTGCAATTGGCTTTCTGCACCTACTCAGAATTCCTTATGGATCTTGAGAAGCATAAGGAACCTTTAGAGTTCCCAGATATTCCCTATAAACTTCAAGTGCTGCCCTTTCCTTTCCGAAAGCCATCACGCCGCAGCAATAAATGGTCTGATAAAGTTCAGCCTTCTGATTCTCTTGTAGGTCCAGTTCTTCCCCCTCATCTTTTGACTATTCTTCATAAACTCTGCATGGAAGAACTTAAAAAGGAAAGACAGACTTACCTGGAAGAAACAGAAGCATTCTCAATCAATGCTGAACTCAGACTTCAATATAAGAAAGTAATGGAGGTTGTTGAGGAGCTTGCCGTTTCGGATTCTGACACCAAGATTCAGGATGATGATTTTGTTTCTCTTGCTGATGATAAAGATGAGATGAGCTACAACTACGAGACTCCAAAATCGAAGTTCTCTTATCATAAACCGCTGGCGTTCTCAGAGAATTCGTCTGATGTGGATGTGACGATGAGGAAATTTGGAATTGAGATTGACAGATTTTCAACCTTTGTTTTTCGGAGAACCCAAGAGAATAAATCTAATGTCAGTGCAGGGATGGTGGGGCTAGAGCTATTTGATACAGGGTGCCCAATAGCTCTAAATTTTGGTGATTATACCCTTGACTTTGGGCCTAAGGAGCTGGAAGCATACCAAAATTTGAAGAAACAAGATTTAGAATTTCAGAAAGGTTTTAATCTCTATCAAGATTATATCACCAAAGGGAAATCACTGAAATGAGTTATGTGACTTTCTAAGCTTCTTCTCTTACGCTATTTTAATGCTTGGTGGTTTTGGAAAGGTGTTATTCAAATTTTATTAGGATATTAACTTCTTGTACAGACACCTATCTGTTGTATGTTATACAATTAAAAAAAATCTGATTGAAATGGCATACTTGAATGGTTATATATTCCAACGCTGTTCAGCTTTTCCATAGTTTGTTCTTCTCAAATGCACTTCCATACAAAGTTCAGCTCGTGTAATTTCAAACGTTCTGCACTGTCTTCTAGAGCAAGACAAGTTACTTTGATCTGCTTTTCTTTCATTTAGGAACTTATGGTTTCCCTTCTTTACATCACTGCTTTTATTGTTTCGTTTGATTTTCATCCCCCCTTTTTATTAAACTGTTAAGTTGCCTTTCATTAAGCTCTCCATTTTTGCTTTCTTTATTTCTTCCTTTTTATGATTTGATAGAGGTGTCTCTGTTTGAGGGTTTTTTTTGCTTATTTTGCTAGATGTTCTTTAAATTACAATTTGCAACATGCCCATAGTTCTTTGCATTACATTGTGATTTTTGGATTGTGCTGCAGATTTTTTTCCCAGATGGCCATATGAAAGCTAGAGGAGATGAAAATGTTACTGTCACCTGAAAGCTCCAAACTTAGCGATTTTGAACCATTATTGCGCTGTTTGTGTCAAGTCTGAATTTAAGGTGTCTTTTTTGAAAATATTTGGAGATGGTCTGGGCATTGGCTTGTAATAAATAAGTTTCCTGTGACATCTGGCTCATTGAGGAGCACGGCATGTCTTATTGAAAGCAATGATTCTCTCCTATTGAACATTATGCAGTGGGAATAACATTTCTTAACTTTATTTTCTCTTCACATCGTCATGATACTGCTTTTGTCTATCTGTCTTATTGGTATTTCCATTTCTGATCAATTAATTTACGGATTTGCTTCAACTTTATTATGTTAAACTAGGAACTGTTATCTGTTCTCGTTGTTTTAATGGGTGTCCTGCAAGCACTCCTATTGTAATAATGTTGACATCTTTTTGTTTTAGGCTGCGAGAATGCGTTTTATTTATCAAAATGAACCATATTGCCTGAATCTTATTGATACCCCAGGACATTTTTACCTCTCCTATGAGGTATGTCATCAAATGGCCTAACAATTTTTGAAGTTCCTATCATATTTATCAAAATGAACCATATTGCCTGAATCTTATTGTTTTCCTTGCTATTTTCTAATCTTATCATCTCACATATCTCCTTATCTTCATTAGTAGGCATGTAAATGTCGTATCTATTTTCATAAAATAAATTTTAATAGTTCTGAAACATTTTATTCAAATTATATTAGGAAACACTGTTTATCTCCTATATTGAGCTTTCAAATCTCATTTATACATTGAAATTGATTACTGCTTTGCTTTCATTAATGAATCTCCTTTTGAACTACTGATTGAATTTGCTTTCAAATTCTTTTGCAGTTACTATGATGCATACCGGGGCATCATAGTATATTTTAGAATCACTGATGGGGCTATTAAAAAAGGTGACAGAATCGTTTTCATGGCTAGTGGAAAGGTACAGATTAATGGTACTATCATCAAGTCCCATTTTAGTCCTTGATATTTTTTTAATCTCATTATTAAAGATGCAAATATAATGAATTAATTTAGTCCCTTTAGTAGCTTAAACTTTTTGATGAAGTTGTTCAACATTGTATTTGTGCTAGAGAACACAAATACCCTGGGTTCAAGTCTCGCCACCACTTGATTATAAATTTCACGTGTATGCGTTTGTTAAAGAATTGTATTTGAAACACATGTGAGGGGGTTTGTGGAAGATATAAATATAACGAATAAATTCCTCCCCTCTCAAAAAGCTTTTATTTTTAGTTTAGGGTCCGTTTGATTGCAAGGCTGGAAAATGGGTGGAAAGAAAATGAATTTCAGGGAAAATAGTTGCTTAGAAATTGTTTTGCAGGGAATTGTTAATTAAGTATGTTTGATTGGTATAATTTTTCACCCGGAAAATTTTAAATTTTTGTGTTCGTTTGACTTTGTTTTATATGGAAATTGTCCATTAAAGTGATAAATTTTTCCCCAATTGGTTATAAAATTTGTTTCCATTGCCAAAAAGTAAAAAAAAAAAAAAAAACTAATTTTTTTCCTAAAAAATATTTTTTTCATTAAAGTTTAGTGTTCGTTTGTTTTTTGTTTTACATGAAAATTGTCCATTAAAGTGAATTTTTTTCACAATTGGTTATGACATTTGTTTTCATTGCCAAAAAAAAAAAAGGCAACAGCAGCCTGGAAAAACTTTTCCGACCAAAATTGTGGGAAAATGTTTTCATCAATTTTCAAGAAAATGGGTCACGTGAGCACCCTAAGTGGAAAACCAATTCCCAATAAAATTATACCTATCAAACAACTAAAAATGTGGAAAATGAAAAGAAAAAATTCCAACTTCCAAGGAAAATAGAAGCTATCAAACAGGGCCTTAGTATTAGTGGTTCAACACTCGTAATGAAGTGAATCTCTTGGAAGTCGTTTTTGTATTCCTCTGTTAATTTTTGAGAAACTACTTATCATCTAATAATTTCGTTGGAGATTTTAGGTTATAATATGTTACTAACAATTTTATTTCTTTGATAATATATTCACCTTAGCCCTTGTTTGACATCCATAAAATCAAAACTCATTTTTCTCAAATTCATTTTCAACCACTCATTCACAATAAAATATTTTTTTTGTAAACCCAAATTTTTTTCATACTTTTTAACCATATATTCTCAAAAAAAATCACTATTTCAAAACTCATTTTCCCAAAGAAATTCATTTTAATGTATGTCAAATTGGGCTTATTATGCTTCTTTCTTGAAAGCTTGCGTACTTATGGCCAGCCAAACCATGGAATTATAAAATGCAGGATTATTATGCTGATGAAGTTGGAGTTTTATCTCCCAATCAGTTGCAGGTTGATGCGTTATATGCTGGAGAGGTAGAAATCTCATCTGATTTTTTCTGGTATTAGAGAACACCGTACTTCTGATTGGGAACTTGTGACTATTGTTTGTTGTCCAGTTTGATTTGTAGCCTATAGTATGATTGGGTTGTGATCTATAGCAATAATTTTGTCAATGTTTACTCAGTATCTATAAATTCCATAGCTAATTACTTTTTCTGTAAGTAATGTCAAAAGTACCTTTCTGATTTATCGAAGAAAATTTTAAAATGATGAATTTACTACCCTCCACCAAGAAAAAAGGGACAAAGAATGTTTGAGATATGCCCACTAGTCCGCAGTGTCCCCTCAAGTTTGCAATGTTAGGGACAAACACATAAATAGCTTCTCCTGTATGGAGCTTCATATGACAAATCAGCATCATATAAAACTGATGGATGCGTGATTCCCTCTATCTTTATTTACAGTCCCTCGGCATCATTGAAATGGGACAGTCCACTGTCTTTCTTTTATGCTGTGCGAGTTGGACCTAAAACTTGTCTCTGCATGTGCTTTTACCATTTTACCATTCAATTTCATTTTATTTTTTTTTTTGTGCTTTTCATGCTTATTTAAATTTCTTCCTTTTCAGATGTGCTATCTTTCTGCTTCTATTTGGTCAGTGGCGGATGCTAGGGTTGGTGATACCATAACACACTACACTAGAAAGGCAGAACAATTATTGCCTGGATACAAGGAAGCCACGCCGATGGTTTTCTGTCGCCTGTTTCCTGTTGATGCTGACCAGTATATCTCTATCTACCTCATTGTTAATAGGTGTACTTAATAAATAATAAAGTATTAAGAGCTTCATTTTTGTATCATCACAATGTTTGTTTTGATTGCCATAGATTTTCCGAGTTGCGTGATGCATTAGAGAAATTACAGCTTAATGATGCGCTCTGAAGGTAGGCGTACTTGTTAATGGTTAATTTTGTTATTTTGGTTCATATCCCACTCTAGTAATTGAAAAGTGTTGTAATTGGAGTTAAATGTTTCATTGGTCAATGAACTTTGACTGATGTCACGACTTATTCACCGAACTTCACAATGCTTCTCACTGGCCACTCAACTTTAATCTTTTGCACTCCATCACTCAATAGACGGATACCCTTTTTCTTCTCGCTTACGTGGATGACGAAATTAATACGTGGCATTTAACTCCATCAATAATTTAAATGAGATGCCAATGTTGAGGACAAGTCAGCAATTCATGTCTCACCAAAACACACCCCTTATCCCTTCATCAAAACGTCCCCAATTGAAACGAAATCAGTAGAAAGAGAAGTTCCCAATTAAAATAACCCTAAGCACCAAATCGACGCCCCCAAATCTGAACGTGAAGTTATGGCTGCCAGAAGAAGTTAAGGCTGTGCATCTTCTCCGACGTCAAGCTCGGGCACATGGAGGGACCAAATGAAGTTAATTATGAAACCATTTTGTGATACCATTTTAACATATTTTAAACTTCCTGTGGTGAGCTCTCTTTCATTTTCCATTTATTGGGGGTTTCTTGATTTGTTTATAGTGATGGAAGATGGGTAGATGATTTTGTGATGAATAATTTCCTTTAAAGTTGCTTATATTCTGTGATTTACTGCTCTGCTAAAGTGTTGTTAAAATTGAATGCGTATTCTGTTTTTAGGCAAAAATACTGTTTTAACATTTGGAGTTAGTTCAGTACATAAGGCAATGAAAATGGACAATGATAGTGTTTGAGAATGGTTTTTGGCCTGTTTTGCCAGAATTTCAGAAGTTAATTGCGGGCTCCCAATTTTTCCTGTTTTTATCGACAATAATCATATTCAATAGCTAACCATGCACATAATCTGTTTGCAAGAATATGTTTCCAAAAATTATGCTTATTTTTCCTCATGTTGTGATGTTAATTTCTTACGAACTCTATAATATGTTTCTTTTGAGAATTCAGCGAATCCATATTCAGTATAGTCATTATCTGAGACTTCTGTTGTACCTTCATTTTATGACACAGTACGAGAATGAAGGGATTGAATTGGATATGATGGCCATGACTGTGAAGTTGAAGATGAACATGAAGAGTTTGATCTCTGTATCTAAATACAACATGGTTGAGGATATGATGGCGCCTGAGGAAGACAACATGGATGCAGCTAATTTCATCTTTAAGCTACTTTGGTGTTTGATCTCTGTATTTTTTAAGTTTCATTCTATATTTGTAAGTTTGGCTTTTCGGCAATTGTTTTAGAATTACGACTGGCTTGTGACATTGATGCGAGCATCACTTAGAAGGTGGCTCTGTTTTAGTTAGAATTTGATATATGAATTTGAGGTCATTTGACATATGGCTTGTGACATATGAATCTGATATTTTTTTGTGCTGAATTTTCCATTAATTGAAGCTAGAACTTTCATATTTGGTGAAGGTAATGGTTCATTACTATCTAAATACAAATTGTCTTGAAATCTATATAGTCCCATTCATTACTATTCCTGGTTGAACAGCCATTCATTGTTCATTCATATCAGATTCTTTAGCATCATGGTGATTCTTTACAAAACTACCTGTACATCAACAGTTTCCAACTCAAATTTTCTTGGCAATTCTGCAAAACATCAACAACAGGCACGAGTTTCTTCTCTTCTCGAACCTGTTCAAGCAATGCTACTAACTCTGCTTCTGTCAAGCTCTTGTTTGTGAAGTTAGAAAAAAATACATTTCAAAGACGACAAATCTTGGAACTAAAAATATCGTACAAATTTAAATTCAGAACAAAAGATGGTTCGTACTCCATTAGTTACCAAATACATGGAATGCACGACAACTTGAAAAGAAAAAATTGAAATTATAGAAGCTAATAGAACAAATTTAGCCTAAATTCAAGATAATATTTCATATGACGGAATGTTTATATGAATTTTTTTTTTCTGTTATTTTTTTGCTTTTCTCAACGAGCAAATATCAAATGATGCAATATAAAAACATCAAATTAGATGATACACACCAAGCTCTAATAATCTACGTGAACACGTCCAGAAAAAACAAGAAGACAATTTTCCCCGTGATTACTTATAAGTTAGATGGTAATCTAATGTTTATTCTCCATTAAAGATATTGCAATGAAATCCACTTTCAAACATCCCATGATTTGTTGTTGTTTCTGCTACGAGCCGTTTGCCCCTCATTTCTCGCAAATCGTCGTTCTCCAATGTTGAATTCTTGGAATTTAATGCACACAGGGAATCAAATCAAGAAGGCAATACAATACCAATAGATCTAAAGTAAATTTTTAAGGGAAGGAAATCAGAAATGGAAAGAATAATTGCTGAAAATATTGGATTCAGAAAGCCTTTACATATACATGAGGTTTTGAACATGTATCTAACATACATCAGGATTCTTGGAACATCATTCTTTGATTAATATTTCTCTTCGATACTCCATACTCCGTTTTTGAGATAATTCATGTCTGCATGTTTGGATGGTAATAATTTGCCCAGATCATGTGCTGTTGATTTATTAGAGATCGTGTGCTGTTGAAATATAAGAGACAGTCTCCTGAGGTTCAGGTATTATATTTTTGGACTGCCTGGCAGCGGGGGTAGATAGGGTGGGGTGTTTAAATTTCATAACTTTGGCCTGCCTTTATTTTCTTCCTCTACTTCTGATCTTTTAGATAAAAACCACTTTTTCTTTCAACTTTCAAAATTTTGCGTTTTTTCTTCTTTATTTTCATTTCAATATTGCTCATTGTCTCTATATTTTCGTTGAGAAAAGAAGAAAATGAATTTAAGGCTATTTGGATCTAATCCTTGTAAGAAACTGAAGAAAAATTCATTTTTAACAAAATATTTAAGAAGTATCTTGACTATGATACAAAGTAAAGTCTTCATATATATTCCCCATTGTAACATTGTAATGAAGAGTTATCAGTATTTATCAAATCAGACGAGCTATTTGATAATTGACAACACCCAGACAGAAAATATTACACGAGTCGTCAATGGTGAACTTGAATTAAGCAAAAGCTGCCAATTTAGGCTTCGGTGGATTAACAAGACAGATGTTGAGGAGGTCATCAATGGAAGTGTATTTATAATCAGGGTACAATTTGCTGGCCTCCAAATCCTTTTCTGTCAGTTCAAAACTCATTTGAGCCCCAGCTATGAATATATTATGAAGGATTGATACTGGTATATTATCTGGGAATGGTAAGCCTGCATTCACACACCAGCGAAAAATAAGTTACTTTTTTTCTTGTTAAATTATAATTGTCAAAAAGTAAATGACAATTTTCTTACTTTCTGAGAGTTTGACAATTTCTTCCTCTGGAACATGAATACATTTCATAGTACGTCCGGTTTTTTTCTCCCAAGAAGAAACCAAATTTAACTGTGAAACGATGTTTTTAGGAGGTCTGTATATAATCACTCGATTTTCCACCCTCGGATCTGTTGCTGCTTTCACCGTGTAGGCTGCAACATCCTCTTCAAAGTTCAACACCGCTGCACATGTTGAAGATATAAATATAAATAATAATATTACGCAAATTATACTTCAATGACAAGCGAATGCATGTAGTTAAATAGATCGAATTTGAACCCGTGCATGTATGATTCAATGTACCTTTCGCTTCCCCAGTGCCGTAGAGAGTAACTTGGTCGGATTTATCGTGGGGATGAAGCAAGTAATCAACAAAATATGCTGCAAATGAGTTGGCAGATACATAGGTAAATGGTATTCCAGCTTCCTCAGTAGCCCGTCTTACTTTCTTCTTGTTGTCCAGCAGTGCTTGGAATGGTGGTAGTCCACTTACCCTATCTACATCATTCCCAAATTCTGATGGAACAAACCTCTGTTTTTAACACAAAAGGGAATTATATTTTATTGCTGAAACACACGAACAATTTTATTGTATAATACGCATACTATCCTTTCGATTATTGGTTTCTCCTCGACTGTCTTTTCGCTTATTTTTTGACACCTCGACACACCAGTTTTTGTTAGTAAATAGGAAGATACCAACAAAATACACTATAAGTGACATCACATTTGAAATGGCCTCTTTTTATTTGTTGACAATAATTAATCTACAAGGTGTTAAACTCCTGTTTGAGCTCCGTTAATCTTAAAATACATTTTTTTAAGATTTTAATCACATTTTTCAATAAATTAATATTACACGTAAATTTAGAAGTCTTCATTATTTTTTAACCACTTCTTAAAAAAATACTATTCCAAAACTTTTTTTTTTTTTTCAATTACCAAAACGGGGTTCAAACAAGGGCAAAAAAAAAAGTGTAGGAGAGATTTCAACCCTTTTTGTCCATAGTACTATTTAGTATGAGTAGTATTATTCATAGTGAACAATTGCAGTAATCATCTTACATGTCATAATTTTATTAATTACAAAACATGAATATTTTTTAATAATAATCAAAAAAGAAATGGGATTCAATTCATNACACACGAACAATTTTATTGTATAATACACACTATCCTTTTGATTATTGGTTTCTCTTCGACTGTCTTTTCGCTTATTTTTTAACACCTCGACACACCAGTTTTTGTTAGTAAATACGAAGCTACCAACAAAATACACTATAAGTGACATCACATTTGAAATTACCTCTTTTTATTTGTTAACAATAACTAATCTACGATGTGTTAAACTCCAGTTTGAGCTCCATTAATCTTAAAATACATTTTTTTTTTCTTAATTTTAATCACATTTTTTAATAAATTAATAGTACACATAAATTTAGAAGTCTTCATTATTTTTTAACCACTTCTTTAAAAAAATACCATTCCAAAACTCTTTTGGACATTGAAATGTTGTTGTGATTGAAAAGAAATATAAACAATCACGACTTTACGTTTCACAATTAATGTAAAATTATTTTTGATATTTAAAATTTATCGATCATATATTTATCATGGCCGCTCTTCAACATTTCCTACAAATTTTAAATCGTTTAAAACGAATATTTGTAATTCAAAATACTGGAAAAAAAAATGGCTCGTCTAACGCGGCTCAACCAACTCGGCTAGGCTTCGGTGGCCAAACGGCTTGTGAATAGTGAAAAGTGAAAAGAAAACTCACTCTTTTATTTATGTAGGATAAAATACTAAATCAAACATTTAAAAAAAAAAAGATGGCTCGGCTAACGCATCTCAACCAACTAGGCTAGGCTTCGGTGGCCAAACGGCTTGTGAATAATGAAAGAAAACTCACTATTTTATTTATGTAGGATACACATACTATCCTTTCGATTATTGGTTTCTCCTCTACCGTCTTTTAGCTTATTTTTTGACACCTCAACACACCAATTTTTGTTAGCAAATAGGAAGATACCAACAAAATACACTATAAGTGACATCACATGTGAAATGACCTCTTTTTATTTGTTAACGAGAACTAATCACGATGTGTTAAACTCCTATTTGAGCTCCATTAATCTTAAAATATATTTTTTTCTTATTTTTTATCACAGTTTTTAATAAATTAATATTATACGTAAATTTAGAAGTCTTCATTATGTTTTAACCACTTCTTAAAAAAATACTATTCCAAAACTCTTTTTTTTTTTTACCAGAACGGAGTTCAAACAAGGGCTAAAAAATAAGTGTAGGAGAGATTTCAACTCTTTTTGTCCTTAGTACTATTTAGTATGAGTAGTATTAACAATTGCAGTAATCATCTTACATGTCATAATTTTATTAATTACAAAACATGAATATTTTTTAATAATAATCAAAAAAGAAATGGGATTCAATTCATCAATCCAAAGAACAACATGACATATGAAGATTAATGTAGTCGCTGACTATAAATAGTAATATTAGTTTAGTATAAACCAATTACGATATCACACACATCATATATATTCACGTGCACGCGTTTGAGAGTACCTTAATATTTCCAGCCTCTTTCATAGCCTTAATAATCTTGAATTGTTCAAGATGTTGAGGGACTGCAAGAGTTGATATCACTACATCTACTTGTTTCAGCACAGTGACGAGTTTCTCGTGCTCATCAAGTTCTCCCTGTCCATCCATCATACAATTATTCAGTACACCACTCATCTAAAGGTTTAAACCGTTAAATATTTCGATCATGCATGACATCTTAAACAAGAGACGTACCTGGATAACAGTGACTCCCATGGATTCAAAAGATTTAAACAGCTCAAGCTTGGAAGAATCGGCATCGGGTTTAATAGGACGAATGTACGCATAAGTTGGATGTCCCATTGAAACACTTGCTGTCACCATGTATTTACCAAGATAACCAGTAGCGCCAAATATCAAAATCTTGCTCTTCTCATCAGTAGCCATTCTCTCTCTCTCTCTCTCTCTCTCTCTAGAATATTTCTGTTTCTCTCTCTCTCTATTGGTAATTCTTTCACCCAGTGTGGTCTCTAGCGGTACACAGCAGAACCTTTTATAGAAAAATTAAGAGTGTGAACTGTAGCAAACGACCAATGCTAGCAGTTGTTGGGAAAATACTTAGGCCATGTTTGGGAGGAATTAAATTTTTCCACAGTAAATCAATTCTCATTTTCAATCACACATTCTTCAATAAAATAATATTTTCCATCACATCAATAATTTTTTCTTATTTTTCAACCACACATTTTCCATCATATCACTATTCAAAATCAATTCTTCCCCAAAAATCTCTCACAAACAAGCTCTTAATGCCGTCATATTGATCGTTCATGTTGGATTATCAA